AAAAAAAAAAAAAAACAAGAGACAAAGTTCAGGTCAGGAGAGCAGAAGAACCAGTTCTTGCCCCAGCTCTGCTGTGGACAGTTCACTGTCTGGGCCTGGGTTGGCCATAGCGGTGGATGCCATTATGAAGAGTGGACCCCTCTGATTAGTTGTTTCCCAAGACTGCAAAGAAGGGAGCGAGACAGCAGCTGATGAGGATGATACCAAAAACCAAAACCAGTTACCATTTAAAGGCATGGCCTGTTTGCCCGATGCTGCTAAATGCTGTTGTGGGGATTCTATCAATTAACCCCCATTTTCCAGATGAGAAACTTGAGGCCGAGGGAACCCACATGGCTTGCTCATCGTCACAGAGCTGCGAGCTGCAGTTGGGAAGGGCTGGCTCTCCAGCGCGGCGCCACATTGTCTGGGCGGGCTTGGGCCATGCGGGGTGGAGCCCTGGCTGACTCTCTCCCGCTGGGGGTCAGGTTCAAGGGCAGTAGGAAAGACGAGATCCTGGGCATCGCCAACAACCGACTGATCCGCATCGACTTGGCTGTGGGCGACGTGGTCAAGACCTGGCGTTTCAGCAACATGCGCCAGTGGAATGTCAACTGGGACATCCGGCAGGTGGGCCCAGACCCAGGGTATGGATGGGGGACAGGTGCCAGGCCGGAGCTGTATCCAGCCAGGGTGGGGCAGGGGCTGCTCCCATATCCCACCCCCATTTGCCTCTCTGACTCTCTGCCCTTCAGGTGGCCATCGAGTTTGATGAGCACATCAATGTGGCCTTCAGCTGCGTGTCTGCCAGCTGCCGAATTGTACACGAGTACATTGGGGGTTACATTTTCCTGTCGACGCGGGAGCGGGCCCGTGGGGAGGAGCTGGATGAAGACCTCTTCCTGCAGCTCACCGGGGGCCATGAGGCCTTCTGAGGGCTGTCTGACTGCCCCTGCCCTGCTCACCACCTGTCACGGCAACTCCCAAGCCCACACCCACAGGGGCTCACTGCCCCACACCCGCTCCAGGCAGGCACCTAGCTGGGCATTTCACCTGCGGTCACTGACTTTGTGCAGGCCAAGGACCTGGCAGGGCCAGACGCTGTCATCACCCAGGCCAGGGATGGGGGTGGGGGTCCCTGAGCTCCTGCGGTACCCCCTTCCCTTGTCTGGGTGGCTAAGGCTGATACCCCTGAGCTATCTGCAGTCCCCTAGCACACAAGGAAGACCGGATGTAGCTACAGGATGATGAAACATGGTCTCAAATTGCAGTTTCTTTCTTGTTACTTTTTAAAATTTCTTTTTTATAAATTAATATTTTATTGTTGGATCCTTCTCCTTTCTCTGGAGCAGTGCTTGGGGCCACTCCGACACTCTGTCTCTTCATCACCAGCCAAGGAAAGGGGCTTTCCTGATAGAGACAAGAGTTCGTGAAAGGGAGATCTAAGTCAGTCTGGGGTTGGAAGCTAGGAGAGAGGTGAGGGCAGAAGGACACAGACTTCAGGCACAAGGGATAGGGGCTGGGGTGGTGGCTCTCACGGGTAGGGCGTAGCTGCAGGGCCTCCTTGAAGTACTTGGGAAGCAGGAAGCCATCAGTATTCCCTGGAGTCAGAATCACCCCATTGGCAGAGCGGAAGAAGGATATTCCATCTGCTGACAGAGCCAGAGATGTGACTCATGCCCTCCCTGAAGGCAAGGCCAGCCCCTGCTTTGTCCAGACTCACCTGCCAGAGCCAGGGGTCCATCAATGAACACAGCTATTTCACAATGGGGCCGCATGCCTGCAGAGACAGCTGAAGCTGGGGACTGGGCACCTAGAGGGCAGTCAGCAACCTGGGTAGACTGGGGTCCTGGGCTGGGATTGCAGGGTTGCTGCTCCATGCCAGGCATGGGGTGGCCTCAGACAAGTGTTGCAACCTTTGGAGGGGACCTGGGAGGACAGAGTGGGTGGGAGTAGCTAGGTGAGAGGGAAGAGCACTGACCACTGATGACACTGGGGTCTCCAGGCAGTCCTGGGGCCAGGTGGATGTGTGTCCTTCCCCCGCAGGACAGGCCCTTGAGTAGGATGGATGGCCAGTGCTTCCAGAATGTACCATGGACTAGCATCGGGGGCAGGGCCTGTGGCGTCTCCAGGGGCATCAACTCCAACTCAGGTACCTGGTTGAATAGGCAGCAGTGAGACCCCCTTCGCAGGCAGGGGTCCCTCCCATCTGGCTCTCGTGCTTGTCCCCTCACCCCGACCTGCAGGGAATGGCCCTGGTTGGCTCGGATGAGAAGGCCAGTGCTGGGATCCCCCTGCTGCAGGGCGAACCGCTGCTTCCTATTGGTGTCCACCACACGCTGCACATCTTCAGCAGAGAAGCCGTGGAACTGGGGCAACTGCAGGAGGGCGCCCAGGGGCACGAAGCCATCTGTGGGCAGGCAGGGTGCTCAGGAGCCAATCTTGCACTGGACTGGGCCAGGGTTAACAGGGAGCTACAGGCAACTGAAACAAAGTCTGGGCTTGGAGATCGCTTGGGCATCCTCTGTAGGACCTTTTGAGTCTCCCCTTTCTGGGTCCCAGTTTTTTCAACTTACATAAAAAGAGGATCTGCCTCACGGAGGGGCAGGGAGGTGAGTGCTCAGCATAGAGCTGGCCTGGAGTGCACTCACAACACCAGCTGCCCCCTACCCTCCGGGGTACACCCTCGGGGTAAGTGCTGATCTGGCTGCTTGGCTGGAGGGGGCAGTCACCAGCCTGGCCCAGACAAGAACTCTCCTCAGTCTGCTGTGGACATGACAGGGCCTCTAGGCCTTGCTCTCCTCTGTGCATGGGGAAGAAGCGCGCTCTGTGCCTTCCTCAGGGAGCAGTGGAGGCAGCCATGGGGGAGGAGTCGCAGACAGGCTCACGTTTCTCTCTGGGCTCAAGCCCCAGCCTCCAAGGCCCCTACTTACCAGCTCCCATGGGAAGCCCCAGCTTCAAGGCCCCATGGCGCAGGGCATAGGACAGAGCCTTGGACAGCTGCACGTCTCGGTCCTGAAAGAACCCAGCAGTGGCCCCTGGTCTCCATGGTGACCCTGCCCTGCTGCCCATCCTGAACCCTCAATGACCCACTGCAGAGAGAGCCCAGAGAGAAAGGAGTGCCAATGGTCTCCAGGAATAGTAGGACCCTTCAACTCCTCCCCCCAGCAACTCCCAGGGAGTCTGGACTGGTGGGAGGGGGTGGGGAGGAGGCGCGCACCTGTTCCCGGGGTCTGGGGGCCCTTCTACCCCTGGACCCTGCTGCTTCCTGCCTTCCTCCTCCAGAGGAGTTCATGGCCAAGATCTGTGGGGAGCAGTGACGAGGGGGGACTGCTTTAAGGCCCCTCCCACGTCCCCAACCCTCCCAGAAAGTCACAAAGCCTCAGGAAGTGAGCGCTGGGTGGGAGTATAAGGCTCATTAAGTTCACCACCTCCATGCTCTGCTGCAGAGAGGGAAACTAAGGCCCAGCAGGCCAGACTTGCCCAAGGTCACACCGTCAGCCACGAGCGCAGGGAGGCCGAGTCCCACACTCCAGATCACTGGTGCCCCCCGCAAGGTGGTCTGGGAGGCGGGGCCGACGTGCAGACTGATGGGGCAGAAGCGTCCGGGCTGCGGGTACAAACCTCCACGCTCCTTGACCCCGGCGGGGCGGGCGGCGGGCCCGCCAATGAAAAGCCGCGGGGGAAGGGGGCGGGCACTTCCGCTTCGGGGAAGGGGCGGAGCCTGCGTGAACTGGAGGCCGGGGAGCGCCGGCTGGAGGCTGGAGCTTCCGGGCCCTGGAAAGGGGTCCCCACGCGTCCCGAGTCGGAGGCAGACCCCTGGGTTTGAGGGGAATGGGCATTTGGGGGCGCCTGAACCCAAGACCTCTGGATGGTAGGGATGCCCGGGCGTCCCGGACACCCTGCGGGACTCGGGGCTCCTGCGGGGAAGAAGGGGCGCTTTACTGCCCAGGGAGTGGTCAGGGGGGTGGAGAAGGGCTGCGGGTACCCTCAGGAGGTCTGCGACAGACGGGGCCAGCTGCGCAGCCCAGGAGTGGTAGTGGCCCCCCTGGGTGACAGGCCTGGCTCTATCCTCCGCCAGAGCTGCCCCGTCCAGATCATGGATCCTGAGGTGACCCTGCTGCTGCAGTGCCCTGGCGGGGGCCTGCCCCGGGAGCAAGTACAGGCCGAGCTGAGCCCCGCCCACGACCGACGCCCACTGCCAGGTGGGGACGAGGCCATCACTGCCATCTGGGAGACCCGGCTAAAGGCCCAACCCTGGCTCTTCAACGCCCCCAAGTTCCGCCTGCACTCAGCCACCCTGGCGCCCATTGGCTCTCGGGGGCCACAGCTGCTTCTGCGCCTGGGCCTTACTTCCTACCGAGACTTCCTGGGCACCAACTGGTCCAGCTCAGCTGCCTGGCTGCGACAGCAGGGGGCCACCAACTGGGGTGACACGCAGGCCTATCTGGCGGACCCACTAGGGGTGGGCGCTGCACTAGCCACGGCCGATGACTTCCTTGTCTTCCTGCGCCGCTCCCGGCAGGTGGCTGAGGCCCCTGGGCTGGTGGATGTGCCTGGTGGGCACCCTGAGCCTCAGGTGAGATGCCAGGCTGGGCACAAAGACCCAGACGGCTCAAGGGAGCTGCAGCTCTCCACCCTCCCAATCCTCCCAGCTTTGGTTTCCTCATTCCTTAAAGGGAAAATTGGCCTGGTGTTTCTCTGAAAGTTTGCTCAGGGCAGTCCAGCTGCCTCCCCACTGACCCCTGCCCCAGTCCTGTGAGAAACTAGAAAACACAGGGGGGAAAGACTGGGCACAGGAAGAAGATGCCCTACCTCACCCCTGCCCCCTGTGTATTCCCTTTGAAGCTGGACCGCTGGTTGTCTGCCAGGAAAAGGACACCAGACGCATGATCACTAAGTCTCTTACACTGTGCCACATCAGGCCCTTAGAGCCAGCAGGTATAGGCTTGCTGGTCCTGAGATGGGGCAGGGGGAAGAGGTGGGGAGCAGGAGCTGAGCCTGACCTCTCACAGGCCCTGTGCCCTGGTGACAGCCCCCAGCACCAGGACCTCGCTGGGGAGCTGGTGGTACGTGAGCTCTTTTCCAGTGTCCTTCAGGAGATCTGTGATGAGGTGAGTGAGGGTGACCTGCACAGGGTGGTAGACATAAAGGGAGGGGTTAGGACTTGCCAGAATTCTACAGATCTGGGCTGGCGGGAGGCCTGCAGGCATCTGGCCAGCAATGATAGAAGAAATTGGCTTTGCAGCTAGGCATACTAGGAGTGGAATTCTAGCCCGCAGTACTCTCTGCCTTGGATTCTTCTTCTTTTCTTTTCTATTTTTTAGACAGAGTCTCGCTCTGTCGCCCAGGCTGGAGTGCAGTGGCGCGATCTCAGCTCACTGCAAGTTCCGCCTCCCAGGTTCACACCATTCTCTTGCCTCAACCTCCCGAGTAGCTGGGACTACAGGTGCCGCCACCTTTGGCCTGGCTAATTTTTTTGATTTTGATAAGGAGACGGGTTTCCAACCATGTTAGCCAGAGTCTCGAATCCTCCGGACCTCGGGATCTGCCTGCCTCAACCTCCGAGTGCTAGGGATTACAGGATGTGAGCCACTGTGCCCAGCGGATTCCTCTTCTTTTCTTTCTTTTCTTTTTTGAGACAGAGTTCTTGCTCTGCCCAGGCTGAGTCCAGTGGTGCCCATATGGCTCACTGCAAACTTTGCCTCCTGGGGTCAAAGTGATTATCATGCCTTGCCCAGCCAAAGATTCTTCTTTTCAATGGAACACATGATGAAAATATCTTAACCTACTCCCCAAGTTTGTTGAAAAGGACGTAAGTGTGGCAGGGCGTGGTGCTCACCACCCTGTAATCCCAGCACTTTGGGAGGCGGGGCCAGTGGATCACTTGGTCAGGAGGTTCGAGACCAGCGCTGGCCAACATGCCAACACGCCGCTGCTCTACTAAATACAAAATTAGCTGGGCTCATGGGTGGCGTGCACCTATCACCAGCTACTCAGGAGGCTGAGGCAGGAGAATCACTTTAACCTGGGAGGCAGAGGTTGCAGTGAGCTGAGACGGTGCCACTGTACTCCAGCCTGGACGACAGAGCGAGACTCCATCTCAAAAAAAAAACAACAACGACAAAAAAAAAAATGGAAAAAGGAGTAAGTGGGAGTCCCAGTCACTAAATTGACTTCACTTGGGTGACCTTGGGCAACGTGTTCAATCTCTCTGGTTTTGGTGTACCTGTAAAACAAACATGCCCATCATCTGATATTCTGTGATGCCAGGCCCTTGATCTACAGGCTGTAAAGTGCTGTACACAGGCAACAGGCTGTTTTTCATTGAGAGGGGCAGGGATGTGGGCAGTGGCATTGATAGGGGGGACCTCCCCCTACCCCACCCTCCACCGCAGGTGAACCTGCCGCTACTCACCCTGAGCCAGCCCCTGCTGTTGGGCATCGCCCGAAACGAGACCAGTGCTGGCCGAGCCAGTGCCGAGTTCTATGTTCAGTGAGTGGGCTCGGGTACATTACGATCCTGGGTCTTGGGGAGGTGGGTGGTGAGGAGTGGGCTGAGGCAGCTGTGGCTCCACAGGGACCCCGCAGGGGCTGGTCACCCACTAAGCCACCCTGTGTTCTTGTCCAGGTGCAGCCTGACTTCTGAGCAGGTGAGAAAGCACTACCTGAGTGGGGGACCCGAGGCCCACGAGTCTACAGGAATCATCTTTGTGGAGACACAGGTGCAGAGTGACAAACCATCTTGCTTGGAGGCCAGGGCTGGGGCCTGCAGAGGCCTGCATTATCTCGTAGGGGAGGTGTTGGCTGGGTCACAATTCCCTCCAGAGGCACAAGATTTGCCCTTAGTGCAAGGGAAAGGTCCAGGGACCTGTTCAGCCCCTTAACATGCCTCCCTAAGGACAGTGCAGAGGTCTCTGAGGCTCAGGAATTCTGGGCACAGCCCTGGCAGGAGATGTGGCAAGCTTGAATGCCTGGGTCTTGTTGTCTCCCCACAGAACGTGCGGAGATTGCAGGAGACGGAGATGTGGGCTGAACTCTGCCCCTCGGCCAAAGGCGCCATCATCCTCTACAACCGGGTTCAGGGAAGTCCCACCGGAGCAGCCCTAGGGTCCCCAGCCCTACTCCCACCGCTCTGAAGATAATAAAGGACTTTATTCTTGGATTCCGTTGGCATCTGCTATTTCTGTGACAGAGAGGAACGGTGGGCCCTGAGTGCGTAAGGCAGGACAAGTGACCTGAGGAAAAAAAAAAAACCCGCCCAGCCTCAGTGTCCTTCTCTACAAGCAGAGGATAAGAGCTATGGCTCCCTTGGCTGCCTCCTGAGAGGCTCCGGGGCCGAAGCAGCTCTGTAAGATATGCCTCGCTGCAGAGGGGAGCAACAGAGGAACGGAGAGACGGTGGCCGGGCCGAAAGCGTCACAAAGCCTCAGAGAGCGGGCTCTGTCCCGCCCGGTCCCCGGGTGGGCGCCCGCGCCTGTCCGGAGAGTCCACAGGCTGGGGGACCGTAGGCACCAAAGGCCAATAGACATGTAGGGGCGGGGGCTTCACCGATTTTTTTTTTCCCGCCTGGTGGACGTGGTCTTGGCATCCACGCCAATGAGAGTGCGAGGGCGGGGCCTGAATAGACGCAGGAAATGGCGACGGCCGCGGGTCATTGAGCAGCGGGGGCGGGGCCTGGTTGTGGCCCCTCCTTCGCCCGTCCACAAGCTCCCTGGGTGGGAACGGGGTCTCGGAGTACCTGGCTGGTTGGCCAGACCCCGAAGCCAGCGCTGGGAAGGGCTGCGGATGCCCGGGTGAAAGAAAGGGGCAGGTCCAAGAATACGCAGGTCTGGTCCTGGGCAAGAACTGCCCCCTCCCGGGGCCTGCTTCAGTCTTCCTTCGCAGAACACCGGGCTGGGCCCCTTCTCTCTGCCCCCGGGTGCTTGAAGTCTAGCCCCCATCCTGGTACCAGTGCGCTCTTGGTAGCCTCCTTTCCCAGCTGTCCGCCCGCCGCCATGCCGCCCTTATTAACCCTGCGCCTGTGCCGGCTGTGGCCCCGCAGCCCTCCCTCCCGGCTCCTCGGAGCGGCCGCCGGGCAGCGGTGAGTTGGGCGCGGGGGGCCGGCCCGGTTGTTCAATGGGTTTCTGTTTGCCCTATGTGCTGAGATAGTTGTGGTCTCTACTCCGTGTCAGGAGGCTCCCAGGTTTGTCTCAGGTAACCCTCGCCTTCCCTGCTGAGGATCAGAGATAGAGAAGACCCCCAAGGTCATACACCGATTTAAGCAGCAGAGGAGGAGTTTGAGTCTAGGTTAAACCCAACGCTCTTACCACAGCTCTAGTGGTTTTCAAGCATCACTGTGCGTAACCCTCTGTGGGAGGTGGGAGATGGGGAGGTGTTGGGTACAAAAATCCAGATTCCTCCGCTCTGCTCTAGAGACTCTGAACTGGAGGAATCAATTAGGTGGGGCTCAGGAATCAGTTTTTTCTTTCTTTTTCTTTTATCTTTTTTTGGAGACGGAGTTTCGCTCTTGTTGCCCAGGCTGGAGTGCAAATGGCACAATCTCTGCTGGGCACAACCTTGGCTCACTGCAACCTCTGCCTCCCGGGTTCAAGCGATTCTCCTGCCTCAGCCTCCCCAGTAGCTGGGATTACGGGCATGCGCCACC